TTCTAATGATTTATTTAATTAACTAGTGTCCAGGTTATAGTATTTTGTCATCTAGTGTTAGAACACCTTTAATTCAAAAGAAATAGACCTTCACCATCAATCTTTCCATACCCTTAGGCAAAATTCCCCAGGAATTTGATAAGCACTCCTTAATAGGATGGTCTACTTAGAGTTGCCCATTGTGACACACTCAGCCCTACCTGCTACCTCTCAGAGACAAAGATAGTGGGGAAGGAGAAGCTTCCTGTTATTTTCATGTTATCATGTAATGTAGTATAATGTAATGATGTAGTGATGTAATCATATAATGTATTTCCATGTAACCTATGTATGAATAATATCTTCACAGATGGACTCTTTTTTGCCTCTCCACTGACAATTATCATTGTCCCAGGTCTCTCCCCTGTGAGAAATATCCAGAAGAATTAAGGTAATTGTTGGGCAGAGTGAAGTAAAAGCCTAGGTAACTATAATTCTGACTCTCATCTTATCTTACCCAAAAAGTGATGAAATTAAGATGACTTGATAACATTCAGCAAGTATTATATAAATTTATGATACAAGAGACAAGATTAAAAACCAGAAAATGCAGGTTAGATTTCTCTGATATCATAATTTTCCCATGAAAAATGAGAATTTCTGGTCTGTAAACCATCTGCAAACAATCTTTGAGTCAGCTTGGAACAGGATTCTGAAGTAGTGACTGCTCTACTTCTCTGACACCACTAGCACACAGATGCGAAGAAAGAAGTTTTTGGAAAATGGAAGAAAAATGGAAAGAAATGGGCCTGAGCAGTCTTTCCAGGCAGGGCTTGCTTCTAGAGGAGAAGGACAAAAGTCCCTAAAATTATGGGATGGTGGTCCTCAAATTGAAGTTCAAGGAATATGCCTTCATTCTCTTTCCCTCTTCCCCCCACAGAAGCTCAGAGCAATCACTCTTAGGACCACACGGAGCTTGGGCCTAACATGCGCACATAGTTCCTGTTATAGAAATGTACATGCAGAGGAGACATCTAGGCAATCAGAGGTGCAGTCAGAAACAGACTCACATAGACACTTGGGAGACAATATGGGAAAGATATGTGGGTCTCCAGCCTGATTAGATATGTGTTACATAAGTATATTTAGGGGCAATGGTGAGTAATAACACCCATCTCTTCTCTCAAATTCATAACCAATTGATAGACCCAGGAAGAAGAGAAATAGGGGTTTATTCCTATTAAAATATGTATTGGAAGATAGGGCATAGGTGGGTGGCCATAATAGGCTTTCTAACAAGCCCCCCAAGCTACCTAGACTTGCCAATTTACCTACCACATTGAGGGCGAGAAGACACCCCAAGAGAATAACAGAAGTTCTCCAAAATGGAGATATGAGGAGGGCAAAACAAAGGATTGAAACCCCATCCATCACCAACAAAAGAGGAGAATAGGATAGAGACACAATTAATAAAGTTATCACAGAATGATTCGCCAGCCTCCCTGCCTTAAACACTTGATCCTGCTGCTTCATGGGTCAGTGTCCTCACATGGAAAACAGCCTTAATAATATTTATTCGCAGGATAAACACTACATGATCTCATTTATATTTATATTAGGTATTGAAAGAGACAAATTCATAGAAGCAGGAAGTAGAATGATGGGTCCTGAGGCTGAGGGAGAGGCAAAAGAAAAGTTGCTGCTCAATGAGTGCAGAGTTTCAGCCATGCAAGATGAAACATTCTAGATGTTTGCTGCACAAAGATGTACACATAGCTAATAATATATATTGTACCTTTAAACTCTTATTTTGAGGGTGTATTCTATGATATGTGTTCTACCACAAAAAAACAACATACCTTGCCTTTTTACAAAAGCAGGAATTTGAAACTAGGGTCCAGGTCTCAGCCAAAACAAGGCAGATTTCATACAGACTTCTTTCTTTCTTTTTCTTTTTTGTTTGTTTTCAATGGGTTAATCCATTGGTAATTTAATATCCCCACCATCAAATCATTTCTTCAGACATCTTTCCATCCAATTAAATTGACCAAATATCACTCCATTTCTCCACTGACATACAGTTTCCTATTTCTACCTGAGTCCTGGACTTTCTACAGTTTTAATGCGGGCAATTGGAAATACTTTACAGTGAGTCCATCATCTTTCTGATGGCTCCGGCGGTGGTGGGGGGAGATCAGCTAACCAACCCTTCTCTGTTGCTTGATTCTCACTTGGTTCATCTAAAATATCAAATGTTTGTTTACATATATGTTATATAGAGACACTTGTCAGGAAGTATCTCATAGATTGCAAACTACAGAGGAACTTAAGGAATCAAGTAGCTCAACTGCTTCAATTTAGAGAGAGGAGTGACTCCCTTAACATCACACAGCTCATTAACTTTGGCAGAATCAGCTTAGAATCTAGGTATCTCAGGTTCTCCTTCCACTACTCCATCATGCTTCATCTAGTTATCCTTCCAAGAGAGATGAGATGCTTCCCAGCAGCAGTGATATTCATCCACAGAGAAGCAAGACAATCTTGCAACCCTATTTACACAATGTCTGCTACTTATAGTTGCATAACGGGGTGAGGAGATTTATATGCTTCTGCAATGATTAAAAAAAAAGAGCTGAAAGCGCAAGGTCTTGAGTTCGGTTGCCGGTACCGGAGAAAAACCAAAAAAAAAAAAAAAAAAAAAAAAAAAGCTGAAGAGCACACAGGAGTACCAGACCTGGAATGAGAATAAGTTAAAAATAAGCTCAGGAGCCCAGATATGTAGCTCGGTGGTAGAGCACTTGCTTATCATGTTTGAGGCCCTGGGTTCCATCCTGCCACTGAAAATAATAAGAAAGAAAAGCAAGTTCAGCGCCTGACTTCACAGTAAGCTTGTGAGGATTTTTACTTTTTCTTGATCAAAGTGTTTTCATATTTATTATTCCATCTCAATCTTTCATCAGGCTGTGGAGGCAGGAAAGCCAGAGTTGAATAGCTGAAGTGTACAGAAGAAGAAAAGGAGGCCCCAAGAGTGAGCTCAGTGATTTGTCGAAAGTCACCACCTAGTTAGTGACAATGCCGGGGCTCAGATCTGTGTCTCTTGCTTCCAAATCTCCTTCCTCTAGTCTAGACACATAATTCTAGTAGTTCTTGAGTGGTGACTACATATCCTGTAAGCTGAACTTTACAGATTTCAGTATGCTGAGCCCGAAACTTTCCGAGTCCTCCTGAGTCTCAATCAGAGATCTTATCCCAGGGAGAAAATAAAGCTAGTTTCAAGATAAGACAGCAAATGAATGTTATCTCATAGGTTGATATACAATTAAGAATCAAAAAATTGTTCCAATTGCCAGGACAGAAACAATGAAAATTAAAGGCTGCATGGGAAGGGGTGGGGGGAGTTGGGAGTGTTGTTCAGTGGTAGAGCACATGCATGAGGCCTTGGGTTGCAGCCTCAGCACTGAAGGTGAAAAAACATAACAAAACAAACAGAAATCTCAAACAACATTTTGAGATGCCATTTCCTCAAACTTGTTGCTTTCTAGTAGGGAGAAAGCAAAACAATAAGCATGATCAAGATGATCTTTTCAGAGGCTGGGTGTGGTGGCGCATGCCTGTAACCCCAGCACTTGGGAAGCTGAGGCAGGAGGATCTTTGTGAGTTCATGATCAGCCTGGGCTACAAAGTGAGCTCAAAGCCAGCCTGAACTGCATAGGGAGACCCTGTCTTAAAAAAACGAAACACACAAAAAAGAAAACAACGATCTTTTCTGTGTAAATGTGAAAAAGATGGGGGGCAGTTTCCCATGTAAACCTGTCTAAGGACTGTAAGAAGGCGGCCACAAACACCCAAGCTACCATTTTGTTAATGAAAAGTCCAGCCAGGCTCATACCAGGCAGACAGCCCAGGGGGCTGAGGAGAAAAGACGGATGGGGTGGCCTGGCGGGTGGCGGAGGGTAGAAGAGGCCGCGACAGGTGAGGAACTGGAAGCAGGAGTGGAAACCCCGAGGGCAGGGAGCTGGCTCTGGAAGGAAGGAGCCTTGGTGTGTTTGCTGACCCAGGGAAGAAGCTGCAGGAGAACCAAGCAGGGAGACACCAAGCAAGCCAGAGCCAGAAGGTCCAGTTGAGTGGAAACCGAGTTGTCAACAACACTCTCCCTTCTAGCGTGAGACCCTTTAAAAACTCGCTGCCCTGTTGTGGCTGTACAGAAACCACCAGGAGGGGCAAGTTAACCTGTCTGGGTCAAGGCTGAGAAGTCAGCAGCAGATTCAGTCACAAATTCGCGTGCAGACCTGCTCTTTGGCTGTGTGGTCTGTCCTAAAAGCCCATCCGGGTAACGGGAGGCTCAAGCCTGGACAGAGATGCTTCGGACTCTGTCTAAAAGCTGATTCTTCCCAAAGGCACAGCATGTTAATTGCCCAGCCTCTCAATGAAGGCTCTTTCCTGTAGGTTTGTTTAGACACAATACTGCTAGTCATAAAGTTTGCTGATTCCCGGCGCGATCATCGCAGTGGGGCAAGGGCAAGGCCGTGCCAGGAGCTCCAGATGACTGGCACATAGGGGAGCACAGCGCTCCCCACAGAGCCCAGCTCTGAGCGGGGTGTGGCCGAGCCTGGGCAGGGGGCATCTTCAGAGGTGCTCCTTCATTTACATTGTGCTGGGGGCAACCTTCCCTAAAGGACCCCACACACCTAGAGCTTCTGCACAGGGCGGCCTACACACACAGCCCCACCGTGTTCCCGGTCCTGCTTCCTTCGCTTTCCGCCCCGGAGGCATGGTCTGCAGATGAGCAGCCTGCGACCCTCCCGGCCCTCCCGGAGTGGGTTCTTGGGACCTTCAGAAGAACAAGGCAGTCGGAGAAACATCTACAGGCTAATCAGGAAACGAGCGATTCGATTCAGCCCACTCAGCCACGCGGGCCATCCACACTAACGACTTTAACCTCCCCTCGCTCTGCAGGCTGCAGGGGCGGGGACCTCGGCAGCGCAGAGGAGGACCAAAGAGGGGGCCTGCTTGAATGAAACAATGTAACAATTGATGTGAGGCCTTGCCCGGCTCCCACTCCTCAGCGATCCCCTAGGCGCGGACCCAGTGCCTGCCCCTCCCCAGCGCTCTCTTTTCTAGTGCGTTCTGCGCTGCCCCTCCGCCGCTGCTCCGTTTTCTTTCCCTTTCTTTCTTTTTTCTCCTTCTCCTTCCCCCTCGCTCCCCCTTCTCCAGCTCCGTGTCATTTCCTCCTTGGGCTCGCTCGCTGCCCTAGCGTCTGCAGTCCGGAGAGGAGGCGGAGCAGGGCGGCGCGGGCGGCGTAGCGCTGGAGAGCGATGGTGGTGGAGCTGCTGGGGGCGGAGGCGACGTAGCCCCGGCAGAGAAGGAGCCCGCGGCGCCGCCGGAGCCGAGCCCACCATGGAGAACCGGCCTGGGTCCTTCCAGTACGTCCCGGTGCAGCTGCAAGGGGGCGCGCCCTGGGGCTTCACCCTGAAGGGAGGTCTGGAACACTGCGAGCCGCTCACAGTGTCTAAGGTAAGAGCTGGAGGCTCCGCTCGCGCTCGCGGCGCCCGACTTTGAATGGGCGAGCTGCGCGCAGGCTGAGGCAGGACAGGACCCGCGCACCGGCTTGGAAACTCGGCCCGGCAGGGGCTGAACGCCCCTCGGAGGGACAGGAGCAGCACGGAGGGCTCTTGCCACCGGCCCGGCACAGACAGCCCCTGAGGGCGGCGGGAGCACGGACGAGAGCATGGCTGGCCCGGGCTGGAGCCCGGAGAGCAGACTCACTCCCGCGGGCTCCGGGGCCGCCCGTGCTCCCCCACCTCGGGCAGACTACTCCCCTCTGTTGGCACGGGAGGAAGTAGCGGCGCTGGGGCTTCTCCTGGAGGCCCCTGCGCCCCGCGGACAGAGAGCGGCTGAGGGTGTAGGCGGTGCGGCTCGGCCCCTCTGCGGGCGCTCGCGGGCCGTCCTGCCAGGGCAGGTTGCAGGGCTGGGGTCCGGCGTGGGCACGGAGCCCGGGCATTGGTGGCCGGCTCCTCAGCCTCATTCCCGCAGACACACAGATGCACACACATCCATCCAGCTCTGGGGCCATCGCTGCGGCCGGTTCGGCTCGGCCTTTCCCTCCTCTGCTGCCGCCTCAGCACCGGTCGGCGAGCTTTTCTGCTCATTGAAAAGTGTGGAGGAAACTTTTGCGCCATGGAGCACAGCTGTGCTGGAGCCGCCGCCGCCGCCGCCCCCGCCGCTGCCGCTGCCGCCAGGGTTTGTTTGTTTGAGGAGGCTGTGATCTGCTGGAAGCCAAGTTGCAGAGGAGGACAGGGGACAGAGACTCTGAGTGCTCTGGAGTCCCCAAAGCTAGGGCAGCCCTCAGGAGCGGGGAGGGCAGGGACAGCTGGGGCTGCTACTGGGAAGAGTGGCTTGCAGAGTGACTTGTGGAAGGACCCACCTTGAGGCTGCAGATTGCCAAGGGAAGGGACTTGAGGAACTTGACGCCAGTGTTGGTGTTGTTCCCTTAGATGCTCAAGTAGCTCTGCTCCCACCCAGCCCCTCACACTGCCCTTGAGATGCATTGTAGGTTCAGGCAGGAGAGGAAGATGCGCTTTCTCAGCACATGGCAAACGCCACTCTGCCCTCTTTGGGGCTTTCTAATGTTGCTCCTCTCAGCAGCTCAGGGACCCCCATATACACCCACCCATACCCCAGTGTGCTGTTCCTACAGTGCCTTGGAGCTGCTGGTTAACCTGTGACTCACGGGGTCCTTTCTGGTCTTGGGGCAAACCTGGAGTGGAGCCTGGTTGGGTGCCTACCAGCTTCAGCGACCTGAGGAATGCTGAGGCAGCATTTTGGGGACAGTGGGGACTCTGGGACCTTCAGCCTCCCCACCCCAGCCCAGCCCTTCCTTCAGCACCTCTGCCCTCACACTTGCCTTGTGTTTCTGAGCAGCCTGAGATGCCTTTGTCATGTGCCAGCACACTCTCTGAGGCCTCTCCCCCCAGCCTTCTCTGCAGCAATAAAAAACAGTTTTTTAAACAGAAACCCTCTGAGACAACCCCTTCAGGAATTTGTTCTAATCAAACTCCTCCCCTCTGCTCTGTTTCCACCAAGGTCACAGTGGGATATGCAGCCCTCCAGGGTCTGGTAGTTCCTCCCCTTCTTTGCCTCCTCACACTCCCTGCCCGATTTCCACAGTGGGCCTAGACAGCCTGCCTCAGAGAGGTCAAGTTTCAGTTCTGCCCAGGGCTCACCAAACCTGAGAGGCACCCAGAGAGCGCTGGCTGCTGTGGTCCGGGGCATCTTGTGAGCCTGCAGGAGCACGGCAGGGGGTGTTACTAAGTCTGGTGCAGCCAGCAATTTGTGGTTTGGCTGGGGATTATTTGAGGGTAGATGAGGTTTTCTTGGCCAGGCTGTTGAGGAAGTGCCTCCTGTGTTGAGACGCAGGGTGCTGTTTCATGACTCCCTTTCTGCAGGGTGTACAGTTGACACCTATTATATGAAGGCTCATTACTACACGCGTGTGGATGTGCAGGGGGTCAAAGCGGTTCTCCCATCCTTCCCAAGTAGCCCAGCGCCTTACACGGAAAGCCAGCTACACCTGGGTTAGCTCTGGCACGTCAGCAGGAGAAGTGTCTGTGCAGTGCAATGCTGTCTGTACTTTTTCCCGACAAGGCACATTCGGGCACGTTGCATTAGCCCTCTTTCTATTACTCTGCCTTAGTTTCCACTTGGCAACTTCAGAACAACACAGCTTTCTCCCTGAAAGTAGTTTTTGGCGCGCACATACCGTGGCGGGTATGGTAGAAAGGAATAGAATTGGAATTGCACGGGGCAACCAGACTGGGGTTGTAATCCTCGCTCTGTCCTTCCTCAGTTCCGGAACCCTGGATTCATCACTTGCCTTCCTGAGCCTAGGCACTCCCAGAGCTAAATATGTCCTTCAAATGGGTGGCTTTTAAATGACACCAGGACAGGCTAGTGGCCAGGCCTTGGGCCAGCTCTGTCACTTTTTCCCCAGAGCTGTTGCTGAGTGAGGAAAGTGACTTTGTTTCACTGGCACACAGTGTCACTGTTTCCGTGGGCTTCCCGTGCCTTGTTTCACTAACCTGGGACAGCCGCACTGTGGGTCAGTCAGGGAAGGGTGTGGAGAAACTAATGCAATGCCAAGGCTGGGATCCATTCGGTGGACTGCCTCGGTTTGCCATCCACTGAATCAACGGCAGCCTCCAAGTCCATGTTTTCAATGAGTCTGAGGGCCTCCTGAACCTTCTGGTGGTGTTGCAGTTTGGGTGGGAGCCTAGGCCAGTACTGGTCAGGGGTACATCCAGTCTTACCGACCTCCCACATGAGGGATACTTTCCACGCCGGCCTGTGGTTCACAGCAGGTGCCCGTGGAGTTGTAGGTGTGCTCTAATGGAGCTCAAGGATGAGGAGAGAACAGTTTTGATGACTCCCAATACTTGGACCAGGCAGAGACAGAAAATGCAAGAACCATGGCGGAGAATGGCAGTCAATCTGCTTTGGTGTGTGAGAACAAAAGTTATATGGATCTAGGACGGTGTGCCTTACCTGCTTGGAGGGATCTGGTGGAAAAGGTAGGAGTGGAAGAGTTTAAGTAAAGGTGGTGAGTGGAAGAAGGCATGGAGGGTGCAAGTCTAGCTCATATTTGTTAGAGGGGAACCTTTGTAATAGGAAATGATCAGGCTGGGGAAATCACTGATTTCTACTGGCTCCTGTGATTTACCTACATGCGGGGAATTCAGATGCCTGATTTAGAGACATATGTAGTCTCCTGACAATCAAGTGGCAAAGAAAGAGGAACTGTTAAAAATCCCAAATGCTACGGGATGATTTATGCTTTTTCCATATGCTGTGGTGTTCCTAGTGATTTCCTGATAACAGATAAAGGAATCCTGACCCACAGAGGACTGGCCCCATTGCTTTGTGATTATTAATTCCTTTGGTTAGTATCTTGTGCTAACTACCTCATCAAGCCATGGGGCCTGTCTTTGTGAGATGGCAATTCTGTTCTAATCAGATGTGTTTCTCATGATACCTAGGGGTCTTTTTCTACAGTGTGCATAGTCATCCATGAAATTGACTCCCTGCTTTCCAAAAAGATCCTCTTTGGGGATGGGTGAACTTTTTGTTTTGCTGTATAATTCAGGTTGTCCTTGAATGTGCTATGTTATCCCAGGATTGCCTCGAACTTGAGATGATTCTCCGGCCTCAGCCTGCACAGTGCTGGCATTACAGACGTGTGCGTCCACTCCTCGCTTGGGATGGGTGAACTTTCCAAGGTTTTAGTACCTTGTTGTATAAAACAAGGTTTTATATGGTCTCTTAGAGCTCCGAGATGAAGGCAGTATCCTCCTGTGACATTTGTGAGAGAGAAAGAGACAGACAGACAGAATGACTGACTGACTAACTGACTAGCTGCACTGTAGTGTGAGTTCACTTAAAGTTCTTGGAATTGTGTCCCAAGATTGACTGAGGATAGAGGAAAGGAGAGGTGAAGATCAGTGTGGGGATGCAGGCAAAGGAGGTGTAGGAAAACTGAGGAGAACAGAAGACATTCTCAACCTACATGCTTTCACTTTTTCTGGCCCATTTTTGGTGTACTTCTCCATCTTGTTTTCCCTGGTTTTTCAAGACAGGGGTTCGCTCTGTAGTTCAGGCTGGCCTTGAACTCACTGTATAGCCCGATCTGGCCTTGGATTTGCAACTATTCTCTTGCCTCAGCCTCCAGGGTGCTGGACTATAGGTGTGCACTACCACACTGAGCTCTTTGTTTTTGTTTTTGGTTTATGTCTCCATATAGCATAGTGATGCAAGTGGATGCTAGCTAGTGCCATGGAATACAGTAAAGCGAAGTAGCAGAGTAGCCAGGAGAAAGACACTTTATGTGCCTCCTCATCACACACAGTGATGTTGCTGTATCATTTTACTCTCCAGATCCAAGGTGCTATTTGCTGAGCAAGGGTAAGAACACTTGCCCCATCGTTATCACAGATGATGTGAGAATGAATTGGGAAACCTTAATCCTATTTGCTACCCTTAGCCTAGAGCAACGACGGGGCAAGCCCTTTAAACTGTTTTTAAGCCCTTCTTTGGATTCCTACTCTGACCTGTTTTTAGAAGCACACAAAGAGGACTTTGAGACTTCAAAAGCACCCAAATGGTCAGGCTGCTGTTATCTTGTAACTGGTAATAAATGTGGATGAAATTCCCATTTGTGTTTTATTTGTTTGTTTTGCAGTAGTGGGGATTGAACCTGGGGATTGCTGAACTTCACTGCCACCTCTTTTTCTTTGTTTTTGGGACAGGGTCTCACTAAGTTGCCCAAGCTGTCCTCTAAACTCATGATCCTCCTGCCTCAGTTTTCCTAATAGCTGAGATGAGGTAGAGCAAGAAGGGTCAGTGGTATGTCTGGTAAAGCTTGGCTAATCCTTTTGGTGTGCACTACTTTAAGCTCTGTTGGGCTCTCCTACATAATACACCTGATCCTCTGTTGAGATTCACACATCTGCTCTCTGATATGA